CTGACAGAACCACTCACGTTCTAAGGAGAGGTTTCCCTTTATTCCTGCTTCCAGCAGCCAGCAATCCCTGGAGCTCCTGAGCTTGGAGATTATGTGTCTAGTCGGATCCTTTTTGAAGTTGGGAGTGCGCCTTAAAGGCAAGGATGTTACCAGCGAACCCCTTAGAGGCAAGAATGATGAAACTTTGTCTCACATACTTTGAGCATGTTGTCAGGAGGGAACAATTCTTGGAAAAAAAGACACCAAACTGAGAGAGGTGGAGGGTCAGAGAACGAGAGGAAGACCCTTGAAAGAGGGACTGACACAGTGACTGTGACAGTGGGCTGGAACACGGCGAAGATGGTGAGGATGGCTCAGGTTAGAGACCCTACGAGTCATAACTGACTCGAGGACACAGACAACAATACAGTCAGAGCCTCACTGACATATCACACCTTCCCCCTCTCCCTTTCCAAACTCTGCTACCTCTATGTACAACAGTATTCCAACATGAATTTTGTGGGAGAACACAGTTCAATCCCAAATGCCCAGACAGTGGGGGTGAAGGGGCTGGAATAGAGGGGAGAGGGCCCCTGGGCATAACCCAGAGGGAGGCAGGAGCCCTGGGGAGGTGAGAGAGGTGTTAATCCCATGCTGGCTGCAGGGTGCTCCAGTCCTCACAACCCACTATCTCAGCTCCGACTCGGTCAGCCCAGTGGCAGAGAACTGACCCATAAGGTTTCCAAGGCTGCACTCTTTCTGGATGCAGACTTCTCCATCCTTCTCCTTGGGACCGCTCCAAGGAACAAAGAGCTGGACATTTGCTTCCACAAAGCCTAGAAAACCTCAGGGGCAGTTCCAGTCTGTCACCCGGGGCCGCTACAAGGGAGAATGGACTTGACAGCACTCGCCTGCAGCACAGGAATCACCATCAGCCTGGGCTGCTCACATCCCCTGGACCGTGGGCCTCCTTTACTGCTCAGCGTGCAAGGGTGGGCAGTGACTCTGTCCCACCCTGCTCCTGCCCAGCTGCTGGGGACACAGCAGAGGCGACCAGACCTGGGAAGCAGGGAGGCCGCTGAGCCCTGCGAGTGGAACACTGATGGCTGTGAATAATTCTCCTGGTTGTGAATGATTCTCCCGGATTATCTGCAAGGCTGCAGGAGCACACAAGCCCTGCGGGATGCAAAACGATACCACCAGCCGTGCACTGGCATGAGCAAGCAAGCGAGCTGCACAGCTTCTCAAACTCCCAGCCTTGTGTTGTTGCTGGATGCCTCGGAGCTGGTTCCAGTCCCCAGTAGAATCAACACTGGCCCTCTGGCATCCTGACAATCATCGCAACATCTGAGTCCGAAACTGCAGCCGACCGGATGTGTCATTCCATCCACTGACGGCCTTCCATTTCTCCTGACCTCTACCAGTCATGGTGACCTTCTCCAGGGACCAGTCATTCCTGACATTTCCAAAGGAGACACAGTGTTACCATATTGCTTCTAACAGTGTTCTGGCTCCACTTTATTTAAGATTTGTCCATTTTTCTGGTATTCTCTGGTATAGTCAATATTCTGCATATGTCAACAACATAATGACAGATGAATTCTCCTTCAGACTTCTATAGTCATTATCCAATTTTTACACAAGTACAAGGTGATGAACACCATGGCTTGGGTAAGCACACCTTAGTCCTTACAGTGACATCCTTACTCTTTAACACTTGAAACAGGTCCTTTGCAGCAACATTTTAAAATTAAGTGTTTTCACCTGTTTAAAAATCTCAGCTTTTTAATTTTATTAACAATCCTTAAAAAGTGCCTTAGATCAGTACTTTATGCTTCAGACATGAAATTACTCTCAGAGGGTTTGTGAATCCTGTACAATTAAAGGCACCATATAAACAAGTGAGAAACATCTGTCTGGAAAGAGTACAAAGGCTTCATTCAGGATTGAAAGGAGTTTAAGGGGGAAAGAATTAAATGTCTCTGAAATAGAAAAAACTGTAGGGAGTTGCAGCTGCCGTACCTTGAGGTGTCAGGAAGGTGACACAAAGAAGACAGCAGACCAGGTGCTGAGCCATAAGAAAGGGGGGGGCTGTGGGGTCCTCATATGCACGTGCTTCTACTAACGCTGTCTCTCAGCTGTCTGCAGCTCCAGGCCTCTGCTACCATGTGTGGACTCAATGCTTCCTGTCTTATTCCCCCGCCCCAGAGAAAGCCAGAACTCTAAACTTTCCCGTAAAGTCCTCCAATTTTCATTTTCTTTTTAAGTAGCCACGTGAATTTTATTTTTTAAATTTTTTTCATTGTGATTTAAGTGAAAGTTTATAAAACATACTGTTTTTTTCATTTAGTTACTCATACACATTTTGCGCTGTAACATGAATTACAATATCCACAATGCCATCACACTTCTACTTCCTCTCTGTGACTCTTACTTCTATTAGCCCTTCTATCCAAGCCTTCCTGCCTTCTGGCCTTTACCTGGTGCCGCCTTTCTGATCCTGAGGAGGTGGTTATCAGGGGTGAGGGGCTCTCTGACCACCTACCTCTGCTGCTGTTTGTTGTGAGGTCTTGTCCGGGCTGACTGCAACTTAGAGCACCTCTATCAAAGCTGAGTTGTAATGTTTTGACTTTTAAAAATAATAACGTAAAAGATAAGTTAATAACCACATATTTGTGGTGGCAGTGGTGTTGATTCACACTCACAGCAACCCTACAGGACGCAGTAGACCACCCCAAGGGGTTTCTATGTCTAGGCTGAAATCCTTAAGCGGCAGATGAAGAACCAGCCACTGGTGGGTTCACACCACTGACCTTTCAGTTACTGGCCGGCCGTGTCTAACCACCCACCTACTAGGACTCTTCCATAAACACCTTATGGGACAAGCTGTTCTGATGAGCTGGCCTTCAAGCTGTGAGGCCCAAAAGAAGTGGAGATTTTCAAAGCATTATTAAATACATAAATAAAAATAACTGCAAGTTCTCACCAGGATTCTAACAAGTCAAGAATGCGAGGAACATTTCTGAGCAGGGACCCTGCAGCATTCATGCCAGTCTGAGTGGGCACCTGGGAATGCCGAAAGCCCCTCACGCAGCACCATCACTAACTGCAGCAGAGTCTGCCCCCTCCTCCTCCCCCGGCCAGTGTCCAGTCTCAGTCAGGTGAGCCCCAACCTCCTCAGTGACAGAGGAGGAAAAGAGGGCTTCCCCACCCCTTTCTATTAATTTCAATGAACATCTACAGAGATTTTGGATTTCCATTCATTTATTGTTGCACTTTTCTCCCCGCCCACCCCACTCGCACCCCCAGTTCACTCTTCTCCTTGAAAAGCAAAAGAAAAACTCCTTCATTGGTATACAATTCCCCCCACCCCCACCCGGAATATATCCACTCTGCAACCCTCATTCCAGACTCTTATGATAATCATAATGCCCTAAAATAAATTACTTTTAAACTACTCTCTTCCTCATAGGCTTCAATGCAGTAAACATAATTTATCCAGTTTTTCCTCAGTCTTACCTGCACCCTGATGTCAGCCTCATTCTACAACAGTGGCACCATATAGTATTTGTCCTTTTGTGACTGAGATATTTCACTCAGCATAATGTCCTCCAGGGTCACCCATCTTGTATAATATTGCATGAATTCCTTGTTTTTCAAGGCAGTGTAGTATTCCATTGTGTGAATATACCACAGCTTCTCTATCCATTCGTTTGTTCACGGGCACGTAGGTGAAAAGGGAGCTTTTTAACAGTTCTGGTTGCATGGTTAAGGAGTACTGGTGCTTAAAGCATAGCACGTGTTGTTAAGCAATAGGATGCCAGTTCGACTCCATCCCTTGCTCCCAGGGACAAAGACGGGCAGTGTCCACCCTTTAAGGTTTAAGCTCTGGAAACCCGATGGGTGATCCCCATGACCCAGTCAACTGGGAGCCTGTCTTTTAAAGGAAAGTCATAAGTCATTGCTGTCAAGTCAGAACTGACTCCTCGCTGACCCTCCAGTGGGGCATAGAGTGGGGGAGGGACGCCAAGGGGTAGCATGGGTGACATTTGGGCACAGGATGGCCACAGGCAGCACATGAATGACTGAGGCACTGAAAACAACATGGAAACGGTCACCCCCTTCAGCTTGAGTACATTGGCTGAAATTTCAGTGCCCAGGCAAGGTTCCTTGATTGCCTCCTGTGATCTGCATAGAGTATTATTTATTAAATGCTTGAAACCAGCATCTTCCTCCCATGATCTGCCTACACTGTAGTGGACAGGGCTATGGGACAGTCATGCTGCAAAGCAATGTCACTGTGAGGAAGGACGAAGGCTACCTGAGCAAGGAGACACTCGCCACTTGCAGGGGGTGTGTGTGCACATGTGTGCATGCTTGTCTGCAAGAGAAATGGAGAGCAAGAGGGTGTGTGTGTGCGCGCGCGCACGCGTGCACACACACGGGGGAGAGAGATACAGAGTGTGTACACGTATATGTGAGAGAGCAGACAAACAGAAAGAGACCAAGACTATGTGTGTGTGACAGAGGAAGGAAAGGAAGACTCTGTGTAAGAGAAAAAGACTATGTGTGTATGTGAGAGAGACACAGAAAGTGTTTAAGAAGAGACAGAGACTCTGTGTGTGTGTGAGAGAGAGGGAGAGACAGAAAGGCAGACAGAGAGAGAGAGAAAGACAGAGAGGAGACAGGATGAGTATGTGTTAGGGAGAGACAGAGGAAGTATGTGTGTGAGAGAGAGAGAAGGGAGAGAGGGAGGGGATGAAGAGAAAAAGACAGAAGGAGGGAGGAAGGGAGGGAGGGAAGGGGCGAGTGGATGAAAGGAGGGACTGGGAGAGACAGAGATGGTAGGGGAGGGGGGAGGCAGGACCAGAGGAAGGGGGTCAGAGAGGAAGGAGTGCAGGGGAGGGGGAGCAGGAAAGGCATAGGAAGGTTAGACCTGCATCTCCTTTCTGATGTAACTAGAGAGGAGAGTGCGCGGGAGGCCCCTTCAGGAACTGGGGTAACCAGTTTTCTCCAGGTACCTGTGATCATGCTGGACACTATTAAGGGCAGAATGATGAGCTTCAGCATCCTCATGAGAATCTCTCCAGGAAAGGCAAAGTAGAATTTGTCCAGGTTGGAGAGGCTGCTGTATTCCCGGACCAGGACTCCCAAGGCGATCCCTAAGGGAACAAGGATGGGGAGAAAGAGAGGAATGGGGTTGAGCTCTCTGGTACACACAGCTAGAGAAAAAGACACAACAGTATGCTTTCCAACGAGAAGAAAAACGCTTGAGATGACCCTCCCAGAGTATGTCAATTTTAGACTTAAAAAGGGAATCACACCTTAAAAGTCAGTGAATAGAAAAAATGCATTTAAAAAATCTATAGAAAATATTTTCTGCATGAAAGCTTTTGTTTTCATTTCTTCCCCCCTTCAATTATATTTCGGACAACATGTGAAAGAACACTGTAAGAGAAAAAAAAAAACAGGGGAGCTCTGGTGGCCTAGTGGCAAGGAGCTGCAACTACAATCCCAGAGGTGCACAGTTCGAATCCACCAGATGCTCTGCCGGGGAAGGAGGGACAATCTCCTCCTGTACCAGTCAGATCTGATTTGACGGTACACGCACACAAAAATAATAAAATTAAAAAAAAAACTTTAAAAAAAAAGAAAAAAGCAACAGCAATAAACCCTCAACACAAACAAACCCAGTCACTGTTCTGTCAACCCCACAGAACAATTTGGTTTCATAAACGACCTGAGTTCTTTATTATATTTGCTGATATCTTTGACTTATCTTAGTGCTTACATATCGGTTCTTGTTTTTGAAACAAATCCCTTTTATCATAAATTTTCATGATAAAGTTTTAGAACTTATTCTCAGCATAAATATTCTTCTCTGTTAATTGGTAGAATTTTAATCACAGTGTGAGACATCACTGGTTTGGGGCATTTGCCGTATTGTCACACTCTGTTCTCAAATGCCGGGCATTCTTTTGGTTAATTCTAGATAATGATGTATTCAAGTCAGCCTGGTCAAGTGGCTCTTGACAAAGTTTCGGATCCAGAGTGTCCTGGAGAGGAAGTTTTACCATTATGCATGCAGAAAAAGGCCTCATGGTGTACATTTTCCAAGTTTGTCTCAACAAAAAGTCTTCATGAAATTTTTCTTGTGTAGAAAATATCATTTTGGAAAAAAAAACCATTTTGAGTAATGTCTTTATCCTCTGTGATAATGACAACATAGGTAATAGAAAATGCATGAAGGAAATGAGAAAGATCCGGTGTGAAAAGCAATGTATATGGATTTTGTAAATAAACCAGTATAAAAAAAAGAATATGCATACAATGTATTTTAATTTTTAATAGTTCTAATAATGTCTAACTCCCCTCTCCCTAAGAGGCCAATCTACATCTCTTCTTTTTAAAACCAAGACATCAAAACTTTCACACCTGTTTTCCACTGTCAACCCCTAGTGGACACTATGCTGATTATTCTACACCATCCAGTTGGGATGAACCCATAATTAACCCTCTGGCAGGTTTTCAGAGGCAATAAATCACACAGCAGATGGTCCATCTTACTGCTGGAGAGCAACTAGTGGATTCAAACCATGTGCCTTTGAGTTAGCAGCCCAATTACTTATCACTAAGCCACCAGAGTTCCTTGGAGACCATGCTAGTGGAAGCAAAATGAACAAAAGTCAAGAAAAAGAAAAAAGCTAAAGATCCAGGATATGACTTTAAAGTGAACCTGCTTCAAGCCATGGTATTTCCTATTGCTTCATAATTCATGCGGAAATTGGACAATGAAAAAGGAAGATTGAAGAATTGATGCAAGGGATCTCTGGTGGCCTAGTGGCAAGAAACTGTGCTGCAATCCTAGAGGTGTGTGGTTTGAATCCACCAGATGCTTTGCTGGGGAAGGAGGGACAATCTCCTCCTATACCAGTCAGATTCAATTTGACGGTACACACACAAAAGAAAAAGAAAAAAGGAAAAGAAAATAAACTGATGCCTACTTTTGTTGGTTTGCTTCTTTTTTAAAAAAATCACTAGTATGATAGCGGAGATGGGGGTAGAGGGAGGAACAGGAAAGATTCAGGGGTGGCTTGAATTGAAGCCTTTGAATAGTGTTGGTGACGAGAAGGGACACACCGTGGGCTCTGAAAAGACTGAGTAACCCTGTCTTGGAGAAGAAGTGCAGACAGAGAGCTCTATGGAGGCAGGGACCGTTAGGCCATCTCACAGAGCTCAGGTATGTGATGAGAGAGGCAGGTCCTTGAAACGGACACCATGCTTGGAAAGACAGATGGTCAGAGAAGGAGAGGAAGACCCTTAAATAGATGAACACACACAGTGACCTCAACAATGGGCTTCCGCGCAGCGGATGGTGCAGATCGGCCCGGCGTGGGTGTGCTGGACAAAGGGTGGCCCTGAGTAACGGCGGGTTTGGCAGCGCCTGACAAGTACCGCCAGCAGCTCCTTCTCGTTATGATCACGAATCGACTCTTCGTTTAAACCCAGGGTCCTCCCCCTCCTTTCTAACAGACCAGAGAGAGGACGCACAGGATGCACCGTGTGTGGCAAACCCTGAATGGCATCTGCTTTCAGGGGCCTCTCCAAAGTGCTAAAGAGCCAAGATGCCAGTAAAGCCTAAAGTGCCGGATCCACGCCACGGCCTTTTTGGTCACTTGCTTTTGGATCTGAGAACTGGACAAGGACTAAGGATATCAGAGGAAGAACTGATGCCCTTGGGCTGTGCTTGTGGAGAGGAGTACGGGATACGCCGTGGACTGCCAAGAGAGCAAGTCTGTCTTAGGATAAGTGTGACCAGGACGTGTTCCTTGGAGGCAAGGATGGTGAGACTTCACCTCACACACTTCGGGCACGTTGTCAGGAGGGCCCAGTCCTCGGAGAAGGACATCACATGTGGAAACGTGGAGGGCCAGTGTAAGAGAGGAAGACCTTAAAAAAGACGGATTGACACAGTGACTGTTAACATTCCATCACAAATGGTGAGGAGGGCCCAAGATGGGGCAAATTCAGATCCGATGTTCACCGTGACAGAGTCACTCCGAGTCACAGCTGACTTGCTGGCACAGAACAACAGTAATCCTATTCTAGGGAGCTCTGGTGGTGTAGTGGGTAGGGATTTGTGCTGCCAACCCAAAGGCAGGCAGTATGAATCTCCCAGCTACTCCGTTGTGTTAAAAAAACATATGTAACAATCAAAAAACACCAGATCTGTTGCCATTAGATTCATTCTTTGCAACCCTCCATCAGGATTTTGAGGCTGAAAATGTTTCTGAGGGGCAGTGCAGGGAGGCTACTTCTTTCTTAAGACACAGCTGGTCAGTTCTACCTGCTGACCTTTGCAACAGGTGACTGCCCACATTGCCTGAGCTTACCCCTCATTTTTCCTATCCAGTCTTTGTTCTCATGCAAACACCCTTTCTAGTTAGAAAGTCTAACCCAGGGAGAGGAGATGAATTGCACTGACTCGGATGTAAGAAAATGGCGATAGACCTCTGTTACAGTATTTGCAGAAAAGAGATCCCAATCTTCTGAGAGTTTCAATCAAAGCCTCAGCATCATTCTCCAGCACAAATATTAATTTTGGCTTGATTAAATAAGTATTGGCCAAGGAAAGGCATTTTTAATCATCACTGGAATAGTCATCACACAGGCACTATATTAAGCAGATCAGCAATGGGGTTTTTTTCCTCTTTGGCAGCTAATCCAAGATGAATGTTGATGGTCAGAAAATAGAGTGTTCTTGAGAAGCACTGTGACTCGAGCCCACATGCACACACTCTGTAAGCAGGGCGGGTGGTCACGCTATCCCTGCCTGTACCCTGCAACCTATCGGTTCCCTCAGCTCATCTCTTTTTCTCTCTGAAGGGATGACAGCTCCAGGAATGGAGGGATGTTGTAAGATCTTCAGCTGAACTCTGGTTTAAAAGCTGTCTTGGAGACTGCCCAGCTTTCCTTTTTTCTTTTAAACCCTTAAAAATGTATTTACCGCCTCGTCAGTAGACAGTAGTGCTGCCAACCAGCAGGCAGTGTGAACCTACCAGCCGCCTCACCTGAATAAGACGGGCAGTCCCCTCCTGTGCGACTTACAGCCTCTGAAGACCTGCTGGAGGGTGAGCTGTGAGTCAGCTTTGACTCAGCGCAATGAGTTTCTTTGAGACATAAACAATACACCCACAGCTCTTTTGGAAAGAAAATTAAAGACAAAAGTCCACCAACTCAAATACTGCAAAGGTGGGTTTCATTTCCACCATCTATTAGCCCAGTTGCTGTACAGAGGGAACTCGTGGTTGCTGTGATACTGAACACTGTGACACCGATGTGTCAAATGCGTTCATGGTTACCCATGGTGGACAGTGTTGGGTGCAGCTCCCTGATCAAAACAAGCTTGGAAGCAGGAGTGGCAAACACTTCTGTACTCGCTTGCCTCCGGAAACCCTATGAACCTGGAGAAAGGATGAAAGTCACACAGCTGTTGAGGACTTTCATTCATAGGGTTGCTATGAGTCGCCTACAACTCAACGACACTTAACAACTTAACAACAACAACAACAACAACATTAGGACAGTTAACTCTGATACATCATAGTTTCCAGGTGAAGCGGAGTCAATCCTGGCCCTCAGTGATGCCATGGACAGAACAGAACTGCTCACCTCCACCCCCCAGGCTTGCCAGCTGTGATCTTAACAGGAGCAGACTGCCATGCCTTTCTTCCTTGGAACTGCTGGGTTTTAGGCTGAACAATGAACCTTGAACCTTGGCACCAACAGAGCTCCTTAACGATGATATTAAAACTACCCCACACTTGTTGTCATCGAGCCAATTGTAACTGACAGCATCTCTGCGGGACCCAGAGCTGCCTCACGGTTTCCAAGGCTGTAAACCTTCAGCAAAGCAGAATATCCATCTTTTGCTCATGAAAAGCTGGTGGGTTTGAATCACAGACCTTTTAGTCAGCAGCCAACTATGTGAACTACTGACTCACACAGGCATAAAACGGTCAACAATGAATGAACACATTTTGTATGTCCGGTCTTGTGTAAAGGACATCGAATGAGTGAACACAGTGCATGTGCATATACATTTCAATGGCATAGAACAGCAGAGGTCTCCACGCCCCAGCTGCTCATCAACTGTCTCCAT